AAGGGTGAGGATCATTATGCTTGAAAATGAAGCATCGCATCTGAATGTCAAATACAGGGAGCTAGCTGAGGACCTGGTCTCTGAGCCTGGGTGGAGAGGTGCAGTCAGGGGGGGAATAGATTCAGCAAGAAAGGTCAAGCCTGTGAGCTCTCAGCAGCCCACTCCATTCAGCCTCCTGGGCTTTAGGCGTTTATTCTGGGAAACAATGTGGGTTTTATTATCTGCAAGAACGGAGCTGGCAAAACGGGCCTCTCATGCTCTGAATCCTGCACAGGTTGGGACCATCTGCCAGCCTTAATTGAGTCACCGGGGTGCAGGGCTGGGGCAGCCCAGTGGGCCGGACAAACACACGTACATACATACTTGATGTGTAGGAGCTTGAAAATGGGGTCTCTGAAGGAAGAAGCACCTAGAGAGAGAACAGTGCGGGAGGGTTAGAGTTGCAGGACAAAGTCAGGAATATAAAAAATAGCTGCAGTATTCTGAGAAACACAAGGACTATTTTTTGTAATACACATTGTCATGTCACTGAGCATGATAGCTCCAAGGTTGGTATGGCGGCCCACTTTGCTGTCAGCGTCCTGTTTATTTACTGTGAGGTTTGCATAAACTGTCAGAAAGCATGTGTGTGTGTGTCTGCTGTAAGTGGCTAAGCTATCTGTAAGCCATACAGTTGTTGCTGAGCTGTCATAAGGCTGACATCAGCCAACAAAGATTTAAAAGAGTGCTCTGTGAGTAGACACTTGATGCAGTAGCTTCATGTTATAGTCCATATTAAATAGGATGTCACCTTTTATTTCTGAAGAGATTCTAGTGCATGTCATAGAGCAGGTAAGTGAGTGTGTGTTTACATGCAGTGATAGAAAGAGCTAAACAGAGAGAGGTTTGCTTTGCTCTGCTCACTCTGTACAGATTGGATAGTGGGACCTCTGGCTCAGTGAAAAGCCTTCTTTGAAGAGACTTCTCTTCTGGCCTCTCTCACTCTTTCTTCTGCTCCCTCACAAGGCATCCAAAGCCCCTCTGTTTGTCACCATTAGATAGAAAAGTGCAATGCTCTCATTCATTTTCTGACAGTAAAGGCACTCACTGTTTTTTTTTCTGACCGGTCTAGCAGAACCTCAGACACACTTGCACAAGCCTTGCCCTCCTTTTGATGTCCACGGCTGGGTTTCTGGCTAAGTCGCTACTATCATGCCCCCTTCTCATCAGCACTAACGTTTCCTTCCCCTGTATTCCATTTCAACCCAAGGCACCTCAGTTAGCTTGTAATGTTAGTCCCCAGAGTTTAGTCCAGGTTTAATTCAAAGGTGCTGCACTAATGCTGCTTTAATGACCACACCATTCTCAGATATTCTCATTCAAAGGAAATTTCAAATGAAGTTTCAAAGTAAGGGCTGATGCTTGAAAGGTTGCAGAGTTTGTGTGCATGTGTGTGAGTAACTGCCTGAGCTTTTTGAGTTTTGTGGACCTGTGTGTATGTGCAAATGCATTCATATGCACAGCGACAGCCCTGTTATGGATCTAGTGTTGTGCGTTTTTTGGTTGGAGTTGCACCAAAACACCGCGACACTTGCAGACTGTGCTCCTGGGCTCTATATACTACCCTCAGTCTGCTGAAAAAGAATAGGTGACAAGCCGGGCCTCTCTGGAGACCCAACCCTGTTAATCAACGCAGTGCACTAGCAAGGAGCCCCAGTCAGATCAAAAATAACATACCTTTGGAAAGGAGGAACAGAGTCTGAATGGATGGGCTGAACTGAAAAAAGACACAGTCCAAACTGCAGCTTTTTCATTCAGGACTAAAATTAATTAAGGATCCATGCTATGTGAATAACCCTCTGCACAGCCACCATGATCCAGCATCATGAATGCTGTCCTTTGGTGATTTGTTTTCCCAGATTGCAGGCTATTTACAATATTTCAGCATACCAGTCTTTGCGTACATAGTGTGCATTAGCTGAATATTCGTTATTGTAATTTGCCTGCAGGAATCCATTGTGATAATGTGTGTCCACAAGGATTCTGGGGACCCAACTGTTCAGTCAGCTGCTCCTGTCAGAATGGAGGATCCTGCTCTCCAGAGGACGGCACATGTGTGTGTGCACCTGGATACAGAGGGACCTCCTGCAAAAGAAGTGAGCCTCCTCTTTTTTTAAGCACCCTCTCTTTATCCAAATCTTATTATGGCATGAGAGCAAAGCACAAACGGCATCACAGTAGTGACCTTGCTTTGATCTCAAAAAAATTGTTGAAGGGTTAATAACTAACTGAGGAGAAGCACTTTGTTGGTCATAACTGCTTGATTGCAAACCCTTCATCACAGCTATCACTTAATCGCTGTGTCTTTATCCATATAGCAACTCCCCAGACACACACACACACACACGTAAACACACACACTCTTCACCTCCCTACCCCGTCCTCAACAACCAACTCTCAGTGGGAGATTCACAGCGCTCGCCCAAGGCTCATCAGAAGGCGTGCTCACTGGAAGTGCCAGCTCTGGTTTCTGAATGGGGTCTGTCTGAAGCTGCTCTCAAGTGATGAGCTCACTGATTGGGGGTGAAATTCACAGTCACAAACCTGTAAACATCAATTTAAGGTGAACATAAGAGAGACTTAAACAAACTGTTTATGTGTCTTTGTGTGTGCACGAGGAAGCAATTACTTAATTCACTGTTTACATGGATTATTTTCTTGTCAGGTGAAAACCTCATAACTGCAGTTTTACTGTTTTTCGTGTTGAAATGTTAATTGAAGGATTACATGTTTCTTTGGAGGCTGATGAAGGTGTATCACACCTGGTGCCTTAAATAAAATGAAAACCCACCGGTTTTCCAAAAACAACAACAGCCCAGGGTGTTTTTGTCAGCTCCTAAAGGTTTTTTATTTTTTATACCAGATTGTCATCTGAGAACATTTATACTGGAGCTTTTTTCAAATCAATGGCTATGAAAATAGAAACACAACATGGATTTTCATGCTGTACTGAAACGAAAATATCTTTTAAATACATAATAAATTGCAGCATCTTATGTCTGTACAGTTAAGACTATAAAATATTAGTATAATTACCTTTTATACCACCTTTTGAATATGTTTTAATGGTTCACTTTTTCTCAGAATTATTTACGCACAGTTAATTGTTTCCTGACATTTATAGATCATCAAGCTCTGCTCTCAAGGATTTACATAAAACAGACTTTCATGATTTAATATTTCATCTCTTGCAGCAGATGAACTGATTACAATTTCTGCCTTCTGCCTCCTTTTATTTTTTACTCTCCTTCTTCCAGCCTTGATATTTGTGTGCTTCCTTGATCAAGCTGTTTCATTATTATATACCTCGTGTTCTGCCCGGTATTGTTAACTGATTCCTGCTCCTCTCCTGCCACACTCTGCCGGCTGCAGTCTGCTCTCCAGGTTTCTACGGGCATCGCTGCAGCCAGTCGTGTCCACAGTGTGTGCACAGCACTGGGCCCTGCCATCATGTCACGGGTCATTGTGAATGCCTGTCCGGCTTCTCTGGCTCTCTGTGCAACCAAGGCAAGTAGCCTTCTGTGTCCCTTTGACCATTTTCTTACATTTAAATCCATTTGCTGTGAAGTTTTAGTCGGTGCAACTGGAAAATGGTAAGTACAGTTTATATACAGTATGAAAATGTCCTGGCATTTTATCTTGACATGAAAAGTCTGTATTTAAATTGCTAGTAAATAGCACTGACTATAAAAATATATCATGTACTGACACCTAGAATATCTCATAATAATTTTGGGGTCAGTTATGAGCCAATAAACTTTTTTTTGTCACAGTATTTTGTGAGAACACCTGGACATTGTCTTAGAGTTCTTGCTGTGCTCATTGGTTCTAATAAGATTAATAGATGGCCTGCTGCCTCTCCCACTGGCATCTAGCCCTGAAACTTTGAATAATGGCTATTATTGGTACAACCCAGACCAGAAAGAACTAAAAATCAACCTTCAACAGGAGCCAGAATATTGCTGAGACTTCCTTTTTCAGACAAGGAATATGTCAAGTAAATGTTTCTGTCACTCTCCCTAATTCTGCAAAGAGAGCTACATGTAAATTGCTTTTCACGTATTCACAGGAACAAAGATGTAATACAAGCTGTATGCACATTTGTTCTGCCAGTTAAATTTGATTTCAATGAACTAACTTTGACTTTTTTTTACTGCCTTGACAATATTGTTGTAATCACATAAGAAGAAGTTGTTGATAGACAAAACTGAAAAGTTTTTGCAGGCTGCTATACTTCCCTGCAGTTCTTTATTTTAGCCCTGTGTGTTTGATTAGGTTGTTACACTGTTTGTAATTTGTATTTATCATATAATACACTGATTGCATCATAAATGTGTAAACATATAAAAGGCAACACCAGTGCTTCCTTAATGACATAGCCATGAGTGGATGGCATTGGCCACCCCTGGTGCCACCCTACCAGAGGCAAAATGTGATGCTTGTCAGTATTAATTAATAAGAAATGAAAAACAATAGTTGCCTTAAATACAACTAACTTTTTTTGGTGCTTTATAACTGATCTTGGTCAAATTCTATGATTCACTGCAATGTCCCCGGTTGGAAGAACGTAAGGAGTGCATCCAAAGTTATTTAATAAATAAATAAAACTATTGGATTCTTAATAATGTATGGTTTATTATTTAATAGAACACGGGGGGGGGGGGGGGGGGGTTTTTTTTTTTTTTTTTTTTACAGAGAGAGAGAGAGAAATTCATGTTAACAATTAAAAGTTCACCTGAACTAAAAGTTAACTCTCTTGTTTTTTGTGAGGAGTGCAGTAAAAACTTTGCTCTCCATCACTGTGTTGAGAAAGGATACCTCCACACAAATGTAATCTAGGTCTGATTTCTAATAATTTACCATTTTTATAAATTACAGATAAGCAGTTTTTAAATTCTCTTTCATGGTTTTGAGCAGTGTCACACAAATAAAACTTTAATATGTTAGCTAAAGTAGAGGGACAAGACTAATTTGTCCTGACTGTGGTTACTTCTGAGCGGACATTAGGCCATAAGGGACAAAGGTGGCCAACAACATGCAGACTTTCCTCTTGCTGAGCCACTTTGGCTTCTTTACTCGTCTTTAGTCCAGCATACAAAGTCCCAGTTTAATGAAGCCCTCCTAGTGTGTTGAGACTTGAATCCCCAGAAGCAGCAGTATGGGGGAACCAACCTCATGGCCTAATGACAACGTGCTTGAAGGAGTTTGGAAGACGTGATAAGAAGAAAGGAAAGCCAGCTAAAATGTAATCATCAAAATCATGCCACATGAAAATGAATTGGAGCCACCTCTTTTATAGCCAGGCACCTTATCAGATTTTTGTGATGTTGCTCTGTCTGCTTTATATGAAACCTTTGATGTTGGCGCTGCAGCATCCTGATCCTGATGGTTAGATACACCTTGGTTCAATTTGTCTCCTGGTCCAACAAGAAAACACAATAGAGGTTTCATTGGATTTGACATGTTTTATTGAAGAGTGCTGGAGAGCATTGAAATATTAATTTCATAAAATATGTATACAGTGGTCTGTGTACATGGTCTATTTTAATTCTGTGGCACATCACTCATTTCACTCTTGTGAGTGGAAATGGGGCAGTTGTGCCACTGGAGGCAGTGACTGACTCCTCCTTTTGTCTAAACAGATCACTTCATGTCCTCACAAGTAGAACAATGTCGTCTTGTTTCATTGTTTGAGTTTATTTGTATAAACGTGTTCATTATAATATGTCCAAGTTTGATAGCATAAATTTAATGGATTTTACTAGTGTTTGCATGTAAGTGATAATATGCAGATGAGGATTTGTTCTGTAAAACGATTGTGTGTGTTTTGTAGTGTGTCCAAGTGGCAGGTATGGGAGGGGCTGCACTGAGATCTGCCTCTGCACCAACAATGGTACCTGCAACCCTATCGATGGCTCCTGCCAGTGCTTTCCTGGTTGGATAGGAGATGACTGCTCTCAGGGTATGGCTTCTCTCTTTTGTCCTGAGTTTAATTAGCTCATTTTTTTCTCTTATTTCCCCCCCTCACTATTTCCACTCCTAATTTCTCTCTCACACTTACCTTCATACACATTAATCACTTTCATGACCCACACATTCCAAGAACTACCCTCAGCTCCAGCTGATGGAAAACACATAGCTTGCCTAAATGATTGTTGTAGTACATCATGCTCTTTGATTTACAACACTGTAGACCAAAGATCATTAGCAGAGCTCTTAGCCGTCATGCCACATGAACTTGGTGTTCTTTTTTGGTATTATCTGCAGAAAATAAAAATAACTTATGATCAGGTAGCTGTTATATTACCACTGCTTTAAACCTGGCACACCTACTGTATATCTGTTCATATATTACAAATTATGGGTAGGTGGAGAGTATACTGTAGGATATGTCTTGTGGTAACATGCTGTACTGTATGTGTTATGTGCTTCATGTACGCATTCATAGGACAGAGATAGAGTGTGTCTGAGAGAGTGTGTGACCATGACTTTTACTGTGTCTCTGGCATCTGCAGCATGTCCCTCTGGGCACTGGGGCCCTGATTGTCTCAACTCATGTAACTGTCACAACGGAGCCCAGTGCAGTGCCTATGACGGGGAGTGCAGGTGCAGCCCCGGCTGGACCGGACTTTACTGCACACAGCGTGAGTCTCTCACATCTAGTTGGTAGACACATAGTATCATCTACTGGCAGTCCAGCAGAACTGCAGCAGAAGACAAGCAAGGCATGTTTTTTTAAAGACAGTTGGACAATATTAGGCTTTAATTTAGTTTTATTGAGAGAGCAAAATCAAAATAAAACTGAGTCATTTCATTTTTTTGCTGTTTATAACTTCCAGGGATAGTGCAGCTCATCAACACCCGTTCACTAACCTGAATTCCATTGTCTACCACCTTGTGTTGTCATGCTATTGAGCATGGACATGACATTAGTTTTAACATTTTTTTCCATTTTCTCACATAGATTGTCATTAATTTTTGTTGTCTTTTGCCTCATCTTCACCTCTGCTTTATGTGTAACAGTGTAAATGCATTTTCTGATGAAGCAAGAAAAGTTTCATTTCCATTCATTCGCATTGTTCCCGATTGAGTATGCTGCAGAGACAATGAATGGTATTGATTTTCCTGTTCCCTTGCAATATGACCTTGACTCTTTCCGTTGTCTTTCCCTCTCTTTGTTTACTCCACCCCTCCCATGCCAACATTTTATACATCTCTGTCCCAGGCTGTCCTTCAGGGTTCTACGGCAGGGATTGCTCGGAAGTGTGTCGCTGCCAAAACGGCGCAGATTGTGACCACATCATTGGCCAGTGTGCCTGCCGAACAGGCTTCATTGGGACGAGCTGTGAACAGAGTTGAGTAGGCCCGGCACATTTGAGCTCTTAGCAAAATTTCCCTCTGGACAAGTATGGTTATGTGTGTGTTCTATAAACACTTTGGCTCCCACTCTCTAAGTGCTTTAATTTTGATGGATGTAGTAATGCACCTCTCTCTCATGCAGAGTGTCCTGCTGGTACATTTGGATATGGTTGCCAGCAGCTGTGTGAGTGCCTGAACAATGCTACCTGTGACTATGTGACTGGAACATGCTACTGCAGCCCTGGATATAAAGGCATCCGTTGTGATCAAGGTGAGAGGTGATCGAGATGATCGAGGCTCTCGACTGTATTATCATTCACACAGATGTATACACAGTGTTTAAACAACCCACTTTCTGTGGTTTTTTTGTAGCAGCTCTGATGATGGAGGAGCTGAACCCATACACCAAGATTAGCCCAGCACGAGGCACGGAGCGCCAGTCTGCTGGGGCTGTCATGGGCATCATCTTTCTCCTCCTCATCATCATGGCCATGCTCAGTCTTTTTGTGTGGTACAGACAGAGGCAGAGGGACAAAGGTCACGAGATACAGCCTACTGTGTCCTATACACAGGCAATGCACATCACCAACACTGACTATTCCCTGTCCGGTAAGATATTTTAGATAACTAAATTCTGTGCATTAGGGCTATTTTAGACTCTATGCAAACTACATAAATACAGCTGTAAAGGAAAGCATCACGCAAGTGGCTTCCCTTTGTCTCAGGCAGTGCAATACACCGCTCACCCAACAGCGGAAAGGGTCACTGGCCCATGGTTTCTAATCAGGTCACGTAATTTATCTGACAAATGAAAATTACTGCAAAAGAAGAGTGAATCATTTAGCTTCCGCTAAACTGTCGCTAGTAAAATTAAAAAAGCGGCATAACTGAGTGGCTTGCGTGAAATCTGAAAGAGCCCTTAATCCAACAGTTGATGTATATTCTTTTCATTACATTTCATTTTTTTGTGGGGAAAACTAACTTTCATGTTAAATTATTCACACATTTCAATACTTTGAAGATAGTAGACAAAAAGTCTTATATGCATAAACTTATATATTTACTTTTCAAGCATCTAAACCTGTTGCTTAAACCCTCAGAGTGTGGCAGTGCTGTAGCAATGAGGACTAGTGCTGCTGAGGTCAATCAGAGCCAGAACAGCAGTGGCGGTGGTGGCCAGTGCTTCTCCAACCCCAGCTACCACACTGTGGCCCAGTGTAATGTTGTCTCAACCATCTCCAGCAACCTGGACGGCACCCTGACCCTCAAAGTATGGTCACTCTCCATGTGTATTTCCATAAAACCTTATTTTAATTTAAACATGGTTTCTCAATTTCTTTCAAAGCAACACCAAACTGTGCTGTTCTTTCCACAGTCAAGCACCTTGAAAAGTAGAAATGGCTCAGAGTGGAGAGGCTACTGCAACCTCAATGACCTGGGTCAGTTTTCCTCCTTCTCATCATGACACATCACATACAACCTGAATATGAACTTTGTATAATCATTACTTCAAGGACAAAGTCAAGCATGTCATTAGTGAAATCCTCATATTGGTACTGGCCTAGACAAAGTTTGCCAGTTGTGAATAAAGATGAACCAGGGGTTTCTTGTTAGGTATATAACCTTTACTCTGATTTTGATAAGATATGCATGTGGAGCAGAGAAGGCTGTGGTGCAGAGGTGAATGGGGGTCACTATGAGCTCATTAGTTCTCTTTCACATCCCCAGCGGTGCATTTCTTTATCATGGCTTACACTGCACTCCTGGTTTGTGGATTATTGAAAATTAAGTCTTGTGACTTAATAATAGCTTACTGTAAGTGGTTGTAAATTTTATGTATCAGTCAACATCTGCAGCTCCTCCGGTGGACACCAATAGGCCGCAAATGCAGAGCTGCTTGTATGAAAACTGTTTACAAGCTCATTACTGTAAAAATCCATGCAAACAATCTAAATAGCAACGATTCATGCTTTGTCATGTTTGTCTTTAAAGTTGAATGTCTTGATCTGCACATTTTCAGTTTGTGTTACAGAACACAGCAGATCAATCAAAATGACAAGTCCCTCTGAAAAGCTCTGCATGTTCATCCTAATGTACTGATTAATAGACAGACTGGTCTTCTCTTCATGATGTTTTGTTTGGCAAATACCCCACCATGACCACAGCTGGTTACATCAGCTTGTAAACCTTTGGGGAATGTAATGGCAAGTGGATGAAACATTCAGTAACCCCTCACATGCTTCATATTCTTTTAAAAAAATAATGCATTGTACTTTACAACATTTTCTGTCAGCTTTCAGTCATTGTGGGAAGTGATATGTATTTCATATTTTGACATTTGTTTCAGATGTTCAACAGGGTGAGACACAGAGAAGTTCCAGAAAAGGTACATAATTAATTGTGGCAATGGTGCGTGTGTCCTGTGCATGTGTGAGCAGGCAGATACTGCATGTTGAAGCTTGTGCAGCACCAATATTAGAAAACCATTTTATGCTCAACCACCGATGTATCATATCATTTACCCCATTTGTTTCTATTCCCCTCTGAGACCGCTACTTCCCTGACCCAGAACCCCATAGCTTTATATTCTCCATGGTTTAGGCGAAAACTCTCTGTACTTTGGACAAGACCATGGTGGGCTGAGGATTTGTTCCAGCGGTAATTGCTCTCTATGGCTGAATGCCCAATACGTAATTTTGTCTCCCACACTGTGTAGTCGGTGGTGAAAGTGAGGGACCCAGGGGTGTGAGGAGTGGTCTGAAGCAGCTCTCTAATGAGGCCTCTTATCAGGCTGATGAGACTGTTATGGATGAGATGAGCCTTCCACTCTCTCCCCTCTGTACTCTGATTACTATATGCCACCATTAGTCACCTGTCAGAGACAAAAGAAGTACATTGTCTTCAGAATGGCAATGATTTTCATTGCCATTCTCCATGCCACAATCTGAAATCTATTTAAATTTCAGTGGTAATATCAGAGTCTAGCATTAATACCTCTGCTATAAGTCAGTGACAGCATCTTGATCTTTGCTGATACTGAATATGTCCTTGTCTCACAGCCATGTGCAGCAACAGCTCCTGCTCTCTGAATAGTGACAATCCATATGCCACCATTAGAGACCCACCAGGGTTGGCTTGCAAGCACACAGAAAACAGCTATGTGGAGATGAAGTCCCCCTCACACCGTGAAGTGCCCTTTGGAGGCACAGCCACCCTCCTGGGCAGCGCAAGTATGATTGTCTATGATGTTGGTGAGTGCATTGCTGCTCTGGTGTGTGGAGCTCAGCGGGGTCTGCAGCTTATGGCCTGTCTGGTCAAATCCCCTGCTGTGAGCCTGTACAGACTTTGTAAGCCTTGATAAGAGGAAATGTGAGCTACCTCTCTGTTGCATGCACGTCTCTGTTCTCCTTTTTCCTCCCCCTGTGCTTGCCACTCCACAGCCTCAGTGTTTCTCACATACCTCTCCTTCTCTCCCTTTCTCAAACTATCACAGAGCCATCAGTGAGTGTCCTGCAAGGGCCCAACGGGATGGCCACCGGCTTCTCCCAGAGCCCCTATGACCTCCCCCGGAGCAGCCACATCCCCAGCCACTATGACATACTGCCCATGCGTCATAGCCCCACACACATATCCCCACCACCCCCAGAAAGCCCCAGCTCTCTTCTCTAGATGGCACACTTGGCCCTGGCACCGTGCAGTGTTTAGCCAACTTTCAACTAATGGCGAGCTCTTTGTGTCCGTGTGTGCTTGATTTAGATACTGAAATGTTGAGATAGCGGGACGGTCACAGCTCCTCTGGATGCTGCTCTCTTTCACTCTCTCACACTGTTTCTGTGGCCCTGGAAGGTGGAGGGGAGGTAAGAGTGCCTCACACACCAGCGACCATTCACCCATTTTATTTTCTTATAGAACTGATCACTCAACTCACACTGCTGCCTGGCCTCTCTGTCGGCCTCCTGAAGTGGAACATACTGGTTCTGAACAGCACTAAGAGCGGCATACGTAAATTGGGTGGACAGATTATTTACAGGGAGAGAGAGCAATCCTCATGATCATTTTCAGCCCATGATATAGTTTTACTATTCTAGGGCAGCCAAGTGTTTATAATATCTCCTAAACAGAAATGAATTTGTCCATGAGACGGAAGGTATAGCAATCTTGCCCATGTCAAAGCAGGCGGTGATTTGCTACTTGCACACACCAGAGTTTATGATTCGTCATTGTGCGCAGAAGCTGCAGATCACATGAAGTGATTATGATCTCCTCTGGTTTTCTCTGAGGTGAAGAAATGCTCAGTCAAATAACAGAGAAGACTCTGTTCCAAATGTTAAACTGAAAGCGAAGAAGCATGGATAAGTATTAAAAAAGTATTGTAACGGTCCTTTGTTCACTGTTGTTCAGTAATGATCATACAGTTAATATTAATCTGATCCCTGTTTGTAACTCAAAGCTGCAGTGTAAATGAGGCCCAGTGTATGTGGAGGTGCGTTCAGGTCACCAGTGTATTTATTGCATTACTGGGAGTTACACACATGCAGTAAGTCCAGAGTTTGGATTTTTCCCCACAATGATGAAACAATCAGATCTTGTGTTATTTTCTATGTGAACCCATTTTTCTTGCAAATGTCTTGGTTAAAATTTTTGAAATACTGGGTGTGAAGAAGGGATTGCTTTGACTTTTTATGATTTGTATTTATAAAGCTAATTGCTTTATTCATTAGTTTATATTAGTGATGGTGAATTTTTATCAGTGTGACACTAGAATTTAAATAAAAAAGATGAGCATGATCAGACAATGGATACCCACTGATGTAGATAACACACAATTAATCTTCCTGTGAGATGATCTGTGACATTTTGTGAACTGTTTTGAAGTTATTTAAAATGTTTTCTTTCTCTCTTTGTCAGATTGTAAATTTAAAAGCTTTATCAATTCTGTCTGATCTGACCAATACTAGACCCACAAATAACCTGTGCAGTATTTACAAAGATAACCATATGTAAAAAGACTATTTAAAAAAAGATTTTATGTTTGTATCAGCCTAATTACAGTCTTTATTTATTTAACCAAATTTATGTGAATTTCACTTCACCCTCTGTAGAAGCAATAACATGTTGACAATCGATGCCCAGACAGCGTTTCATTAGTGCTGCACATTAAGCGATCTTTGACCAGTGTGGTGACAGTGGATCATATATGTGACTTTTTTTATTTTTTCTCTGAGGAAAGTTTATCCAGTCGCTGTCATATCAGTGCCGCTTGTTGTTTTGGTAAATAAATTTCAAATTAAAAGCCTATTCTGCCATCAGAAACCTGTTTCAGTCAGGTTAATACCCCAGATAGAGAAAAGTTTACTTCCCATGTCTAGCATTAGGCGGGACATGCCTCTCTTCATCTGTAACTCTGCAAATTGAAATACCATGACAACCATTGTTGACAAGATTGTTTGATGATGACTGAAGGATTTAAAGTGCTGCGTTGGTGGGTATGAGTTGTAGAGCCTGGTGAGTCAGTGAAATGTGATCCAGGAAGTCCAGCTGGAGTAACTGATTAACCCTCCTGTTATGTTGCGGGTCAAATTGACCCACGAACATAACTGCTTTAAATGAGACAAATATTTGATATGAAGAAATGAACATAACAGGTCCTGTTATGTTCATTATATTTTTAAAGGCTTATCAGACATTAGACTGTCATCAAACAGTATAAATGGTACCATCCTGGAGTACACGTGTACCCTACATCACTGCAGTGAGAAATTAAACCACTAGGGGTCAGCAAAGACCAGATATTTAGGGACTTAACTAGATTATGCAAATATAAAATGATCTGTTTGTTCAGTCTGAGACTGTGCATAATTTCAAATCACATGCATGATCTTGTGTCACACACTGTAACATTTAAAAATACCTTATCACTGTGTCCTACAGTACTTTGCCAGGCACAAACTGAACTACTGGCTCAGGTATCTAGTGGCATTGCAAAGTGGTGGCTAATTATTAAGCAAGTCTTGTCTTTATTGAAAACAGGAATGAGCGTCATATTGTGGGAGAAGCTGCAGTGAGCCCGCTCCCCACAGTAAAGGATTTCTGGTTGTTCCTCAGTAGTAAGAAGCAGATTTCCCAAGCTCCACAGATGATGTACATTTCACCAAGCTGACAGCTAACATCCCTGAGTGATGCCCTACTGAAAGGAAACACAGCCAGTAAGTCAGGGCACTAATGGACCAAATACAAGTGAGTACTTCAGAAAGACAAGGTCACGCTGCAGCAAGGTGAGAGATTACCATTTTGTAGCTTGCTGAACATCCTGTCAACACATTGATAATTTATATGATTCCTTACAGCTCAGAAGGGGCAGAGAGAGGAAGCCATCAACAAAGCAAAGATTTTATTTAACTTATTAGATGTCAAATGGAGAGCTGAGCAGATTCAGAAAGGTAAAAAATTTCAAACTGTATGAAAATCAAGTGCTTCCCAGCATGACGCTTTCCTGAAACCAGTGCTCATGTTCAAATGCAGGTATAATTATTGTTAGGGAGCTGATGCTGTGTTTCAGTGAGCCATAGTGACAGAAAAAGGAAATGCTTTTAATTTTCTGATTTATTTTTTGACTTATTGTTCAGCCATTCTGGACCAATCCTGGTTTCAGTGCAAAGTATGCCAATAAATAATGTCAATGTAAACTTTTATTTCCCTCCTCTGCTCCAAGGATCAGTCTATCAGATCTATCCACATCTGCAAGCCATCATTTCCAATTTAGCAGCATCAGCTGTCTCAGAGGAAGCTGTTCTATTCTTTCAAACACATATTCTTTTTAGATATATTTTCACTTAATTACTACTATACATGCAGTACACCAAGTAAAGTTCTATGCAACAAACATGTTTTGATGCAAAAAAGTACAACACAAAACGTGAAGATTTTATAGACCCACCTGACGATAGTGAACCCCACATCCACCTCACAGCATAAAGTAACATCACAAAACACAGTCAATATCCTTTTCTGTTTGGTTAAACAACACTCTACTTGGATTCAGCATTTTCTAGACGGGACTAAACCGACTTGGTTTAAAATAAAAATATCCTCCAGTGGATTTAATTAAGTGCAACACATCGAATAACAGAACCTGGATAATGTATAAGTTCAAAGTAGGGCTGTCTCTAGGCTGATTATTAAAATGTGAAGTGTTGCGGAGTGAAAGAAGAACTGCAGGGACTTTCCTTGACTAATGCAGGCATCAGGCAGAATCTTTTCTGCTGCAGTCAGCCTGTCACTTATATGTCAGCTTTCAGTTGAAACTGTTTTTCACAGAAGCTGCCAGCGGGAGGAGGCTATATTTCTAAATGCCCTGACAGTGCTGCACCTTTTGGTTTATTCTCAAGAGGCTGCACCTGGCTGCTGACCACACTGCTACTGGACAAGCTGTCACTTTCACATCAGTCTAATGTCGCCTTTTGAGAGCCAGGGTCGATTTATGTGGTGTGAGGACAAGTGAAGGGAACATGCAAATACTGGTGCCTGACATTATATTAAGATAGGTTTTAATTTTGTAATGTCATAGCGAATGTAACCAGTGTAATTGTGCTCTAATTTAAACATATACCATCTGACTGCACTGTACTGCTGTGGCTAAGTCCAATGCAGAGGTCAGTTGCTGATCTTTATTGCAGTCACGTCTTGCTACAGGAACTGTGAGGATCCATCTGACCAGAGCTGGATCTTTACTTAGCCATTCTTAGTGAATAATCAGAAGCTTTTCATCCCAGTCACACTGATCATTTTCACCACTTCTGCATTTATAACCACTTTTAAATTCATTAGGCACACTTACCTCCACAATAAATAAATAAATAAATAAATAAGCCCACTAAAAAAATAAGCCTTGAATAATAATTATTTTTAAGAGCAGGCGGTCATTTCAACAGGAATTTCAGAGCTTCTGAACTAAGTTTAAAACATAAATCAAATCAAAGTAGAGCTGCAGTATTGCAAAGCTCTTACACCAGAACTGTATAGCTTGGTAATCACCACACTAGGGCAGTAGAGGGCAAGACAAGAGGCCGTGAGACACAGAATGTTTACATTACCAGTAACATATACTTAGACTTGTTAGTTTTATTTTTTATGCTCAGCAGTAAATATGTATATCTTGTTTATAAAAAGGAAATAAAGCATCCATTACAATTTCTTGCAGTCCATGGTAACATCTTCAGCTGTCTTGCTTTGTAAAAACCAACAGCCCAAAACCCAAAGATAATCAGTTTATGAAAAAGCAAAGCATGAAAACCTCACATTTGAGGAGCTGGGCCAGTAAGTTTTTGGCTTACAAAAAGCCAGTTAATGCCAGTTTAATTATTATTGCAATTATTATTATTATTATTAATAATAATAATAATAATTAATAATTAATAATAATAAAAGGATAGGCTCTGGACTGGATGTAATATCTGTACTATTCCTGTAAACTTGTAAACGCAGACCAGATGTTTCCTCACACCTACAGATGCAGTTCCTCTGTCATCAGTGACGTCAGGAAGGTTTGTAATCAGTCACATGACCCGCGCAGGTCTGGATAAAGCCCCTGGTCGGGACTAAACAGTCTGTGTGTATGCGTTCAGCCTCTGAATTATTCTTTTTTTATGATAACAAATTTAGAGAAGAAATAGACGAAGCGAACACCGGGAATACCAGGTTTCTTATCGACCCATCTTGGTTTTGTTTCGACGTAGACTCATAATTCGACAGATCATCTTTCAGGCGTTTGAGATGTGAGTAGATTTTTCTTTCATTGAGGGTAAAAACAAACGACGCTCCCATATTCCCTCTTTGTTTCTTGTGTTTCATTTTTTAGTATTTTGAGACGAATTTATTTTGTGATTTTCTTTGTTACAAACGGGGTCAAACAAGATTAAGAATTATTATTTGAATGTTTGATGGCTGATGGGGATAATAACCTGACATGGTAAATAGGTTATATTTTGTCGTATAGCCACATGCATTACAAGAATAACTCAATGATTTGTAGTGAACAGCCTGTGCGCGATTCACTATATTTACTCTGCGCCCATTGGTTACAGTTAGTATGGAGGCTTATTTTATTGCATCCCGTGAAGATGCTCCATAAGATGGCTTCTTCTGATGTGGGCATACGAGAAGACCCCTCCGTATTATTATTATATAGTCAGTTGTGTTTTTCAAAGGACCATTTTCAGGCTTAAGGTTAATCAAACACAACCAGTGCACAATGTGCAAGCTTTGCAAGCTGATCCTGCTGGGTTCTTTCAGTGATTCTCCATTTCCAGTACCATTTCCAGTATTTTCTCCTTCATCTTTCTGCTCTGTTTGTCTTGGGGGTCTGTGGTTTCCTCATCAGCAGGCAGGGTCTCCCCTGTCAAACATAATGCAAATGGCTAATGAGGGTCAGGGCTGTCTTCATGGCTAAGAGGGAACAGATGCTGAGTGAAATGCTGTGGTGGTTCCAGATCCCACTGCCCATCCTCCCTGCCCCCATGCTGTTACCACAGCCCTCTAGTCCCTGCACATCTCGGGTCTGACTGCCCAGTCGAGGCTGACTCTGTCCCCTGGGCCATAATTACAACACCATGCTGCCTCCAAGCAAAAGTCCAAAGACCTTTATTTCACATTGCAAAACCACACACAGTATGGAGAGTGGATCAATTCTTTTCCAATAAATATTTTGCTGGTAAAAAAAATATTCCTTGTATGAAATATCTAAAGATATATCAGATAAATATGATATAGTTTCAAACTCACTCAGTCAACTACCTTTGCATTATTTGTAGTTTTTGTGTGTCACAATTAAACCTATTTCAGTTCACAAACCCTTTTGCAGTTACATCTTTAAAAACTAGCTCTGTGTGGACATGTACTGTTAAAATCCATAATGGTTTATTTTAAATTTTAGCCCCAAGGTGTCCATTTAGACCAAATACATTGAAGTAGAAGAAATTGAATTTTTATTTCAGGGCAGCAAGAATTTAATTGTAATGGTGTAAACTATAAATTCAATATTGGAATAATTGAAGTGAAGCACTGGCATTAGCAGAATATGGAGTAAGTATGTGATTTAAGTTTGTGGTTCCTTGGGGAGGAAATTTAGCTAAATGCTGGGAACATTATGCCACAAGTGGTTAACAAATCACTACAATGCTGACAGTTGGAGGTGACGCATACAGACAGTAGTGGATGTGAACAGGGAAGTCAGCTTGTTAGTAGGCAAGAAGAGGAAATCCGCTGTGCCCTTATTTGTCTGCTTTCATGGAGAAAACTGTGGTGGATGTAATGATTGCAGTTTCTGGGGAGACCATGAGTCATGCGCTTTAAGTGTTGAGCTAACTTAGGCTTGCCTACAGTAAGTGGAGGGAGATGGTTGGAAATTATGTGGAAAATAATTATGTCTATTTATAGGCTTTTTGTCACCAAAGCAGCTCTCAAAGGATTTTAGAGGATGTCTTTCTAGACAGAAGATCTGTACGCTCAGTGTGATGCAAACACATGACAGGAGAAAGCTTCTAAACTAGTGCAGCCTAGACACTACTGGGAAGCGTGTAAAAACATTGTAAGGCCAAAAGGAGGAAACCGTGGACAGGCCTGTTCACTGAGAGGTGAGATAATTGTGTAATAGCTTCCAGCACAACAAAAAGCCCTTTAACACAGAAAAGTGCAACAACGGCGGTGCCAATGACACAGCCCATTAGCCAACTTGTATTTAACCAGAACGATGTTCCCTGATGAGAAATATTCAGTCTTCAGTTCAGTGCTCAGTTTTAATGTTGTTGCTATGGCGAAGATTAGAAATAATTTTAGGCCTGTGCTTCCGGTTGAGGGGGAGGAAGAGACGCAGTAGATGTCATGGCAGTTGGGAGTGGAGATTACATCTATATTTAATCCCGCACCTTCCAGTTATTTTACAGTAAGACACATCTGCCATGCCATTATATTGTATATTTAGCAGCATGCATGCAATACCTACAGAGAGCAGGTATTTCACAAATTTACGTAACTGTGCATAAGTGTCTCATTAAAGGAAAGTTGGAACAGGATAATTTAGGCCTTTTACCTCCTTTGGTTGTTAGGAAACTAAATAACATGAAAATATGCCTTTTGATTTTCTTTCTTTATAATAATAACTATGTTTTGTTTCCATTCAATCCAAAAAAAAACATCAGGTGTCTTATTTAACTGACACATTAGTGTAGAAAATGTTTCTATTAAACTACTGAATAGAAATGCTTGTCACAGTGATAGTTCTGGACCTCTGTTTTTCAGAGATCGGATTACACAGCTCATGACCTTTTGCATCATTTTGAGAACCTGAGTGAACAAAAGTGACACACAAGAAAAACAAACGTGCTTCATTAGTGCTTCCTTAATTTAT